AGGGCTAGCCATAGCCCCTTTTCATTCCCTGTACTTTTAGTCAAGAAGAAGGAGGGCACATGGAGAATGTGCATTGACTATAGGGAATTGAATGCACTTACAATTAAAGATAAGTATCCAATTCCCCTTATTGATGACTTGTTGGATGAATTGCATGGTTCCAAGTATTTTTCTAAGCTCGATTTGCGATCTGGATATCATCAAATTTTGATGAAACCTGAGGATGTGGGCAAGACAGCATTTAGAACCCACGCAGGTCACTATGAGTTCTTGGTGATGCCTTTTGGGCTCACTAATGCTCCTGCCACATTCCAAAATGTGATGAATGATCTGTTTAAACCATTCATCAGGAAGTTTGTGCTTGTCTTCTTTGATGATATACTCATTTATAGCACCTCTTGGCAGCACCACTTGGTTCATCTAAAGGAAGTACTCACTGTGTTTCACAAAAATCAGCTATACCTCAAAAAATCTAAGTGCTCTTTTGGTCAAAGTAGTGTTGAGTATCTGGGCCATATAGTGTCTCAGGATGGGGTGGCTGCATATCCCTTAAAGCTCAAAGCCATTCAGCAGTGGCCTCAACCCAGAAATGTCAAGGAGTTAAGGGGATTTTTGGGGCTTACTGGCTATTATCGCAAATTTATTCCCGGTTATGGGAAGGTATGTCAACCTTTGTACAATTTGACCAAAAAAGAGGGATTTGCTTGGAATGATTCAGCTAGTGAAGCTTTTAGACAGCTCAAGAGCATTATGTTCTCACCACAGGTCTTAGCACTTCCTGATTTTTCTCAAACCTTTGTAGTCGAGTGTGATGCGTCTGGAAATGGTATAGGTGCTGTCTTGCAACAAAATCACAGGCCTATTGCATTTTTCAGTCAAGCACTTGGGCCTAGAAACCAGGCATTATCGACTTATGAGAGGGAGCTTATTGCCATAGTTCATGCCATACACAAATGGCAGAATTATCTGCAAGGGAGACACTTTGTTATCAAAACTGACCATAGCAGTTTGAAGTATTTCTTGGGGCAGAGAACTAACACTCAGTTCCAACAAAAATGGGTGGCTAAACTTCTCGGGTTTGATTATGAAATTCAGTATCGAAGTGGGAAGGAAAATATTGTGGCAGATTCATTATCTCGAATTCCAGACCATCAGGAAATTGTTGCAGGGGACAATATGGAATTAGCTGCCATATCTTATCCGTATTTTGGATGGATGGATGACTTGAGAAGGTATAATGAGAGTGATACTTGGATCATGGACAAAATTAAGGAGGTGACTGAGTACAAACTTAAGGGCACCACCAATCCTGCTTTAGCTAAATATTCTCTTGATAATGGATTTTTATGCTACAAGAAACGGGTAGTAATTAGTCCAACTTCTCAATGGAGAATCAAGCTCATGGAGGAGCATCATTACACACCAGCGCAGGTCATCAAGGGGTAGCTAAAACTTATCAAAGAACTAAAAAGGGGTTTTATTGGCAGGGAATGAAAGGGGATATAAGGAAGTTCATTGCTAAATGTGCCATATGTCAACAAAACAAGTTTGAAACCATTGCACCTCCTGGATTGCTTCAACCCTTACCTCTGCCACAAAGGGTGTGGTCTGATATTAGCATGGATTTTATAGTTGGATTGCCTAACTGCAAGGGAAAATCAGTTATCATGGTGATTGTGGACAGGCTTTCAAAGTACAGCCACTTTATTGCACTTGCTCATCCTTACAATGCTTCTATAGTTGCTCAACTATTCATAGAACATGTTTTCCGATTGCATGGTATGCCTAGCTCCATTGTGAGTGATAGAGATCCAGTGTTTGTAAGTGCTTTTTGGAAAAAACTCTTTAGACTCCAAGGTTCCAAACTTTGCATGAGTTCGGGTTATCATCCACAAACTGATGGGCAGACGGAGGTAATGAATCGATGTTTGGAGACCTACTTAAGGTGCTTTGTGGGAGGACAGCCGAGGAAATGGGTTCAATGGTTGCCGTGGGCAGAATGGTGTTTTAATACTGCATACCATACTTCTTCAAAGTATACTCCATTTGAAGTGGTTTATGGTTTTTCCCCGCCTTACATCGCTCCACATGAGGTTGGTTCTACCAAAGTCGCTTCTGTGGAACAATGCATGATTGAAAGAGATGGGTTGTTGTCAGTGTTAAAGACTAATTTGCAGCTAGCTCAAAATCGCATGAAAGTGCAAGCAGATAAGAAAAAGACTGAGAGACACTTTAATGTTGGAGATATGGTGTATTTGAAGTTGGTGCCCTATCAATTGCACTCATTGGTGAATCATAGTTATCACAAATTACAACCACGGTTCTATGGTCCTTATGCAGTTCTTGAGAAGATTAGCGTTGTGGCATACAAGTTGAAACTTCCTGAGGGGTCCAAAATCCATCCTGTGTTCCATGTGAGCTGTCTCAAAAAACAGGTTGGAAACAATGTGGTTCCCCAGATTGAACTTCATTTGGTGTCTGAGGATGGCTTGGTTCAGGACAGACCTGCAACAATCTTGTCGAGAAGAATGTATAAAAAGGGAAGTGTGGCGGGAGTTCAACTCTTAGTGCAATGGCAGGGTAAGGAAGCTGCAGATGCCACCTGGGAAGACTTTGATGAGTTCCAGAAACGATTTCCAGATTTTGTAGTTTAACCTTGAGGACAAGGTTGTTCTGAAGGGGAAGGCATTGTTATGATCTGGAATTGGACCAAAATGTAATAAGTGAGATAGATTTGGGGGTCATTTTCCTATTTGTAGTTTTAAGGGAGTTTGTTTACAATTTTACAGGTTTCATGTTGTACTGGGTTACTATATAACCATTTGTGTTTCTCTGAGTAAGGCATATATACAATTTTACAAAACCAATTCTGTTCAGTGTTCTCTTCGACTTTTCCCGCCATTTCTGATCTTGCAAGCAGGTTTAGGTTTGAGCCTTGCTAGGGTTTGGTGCTAACACAAAACTCAAGGGAGATCGCAAACTGAACCCTCTGGGGACTGAAAAGTGTGGCAAATCACTGCAAAAGTCCGATTCTGTTCTGATTCCGATTCCGGTTCCCATCTCGAAATCCCTGTGTCTGCAATGTATAAAAGGAGAAGTCGCGGTGCAGTTTTGGGCGGGTTGGGAGACCGGCACTTAATTGGGCTGGATTTGAATTCATAGTGTTTAGCATTTTGCACGCGAGCCCAATAGTAGATGGGAAATTTTTGGATCAGATGTCACACTAACACTTGATATTATTGTTTAAATTTATAATATTTTGAGATATGATATCTACACATTCTTTTTTATTTCTCACACACCTTTCTATTTTTCAGCTGTTAAATTGAATGAATTTAAGAAGATCAAAGAAGAAAAAATACCAAGGGGTGTGTGGATTGCACATCCCAATATTTTTATAGGGATTGATGAAACGATATAGAGATATGAAAAATGTTTGCACTTAGTCTTTATATATTTGGGAAAAGCTTATGACAAGGTCTAAGAGAAATTCTTTGGAGGATTTTAGAGAAGAAATGAGTATGAGTAGCATATATTCAAGCAATAAATGATACGTATGATGGATCAAGGATTCAAGGACTATGACATGAATAACAAACTGAAAGCTTTGCCATAACCATAGGGTTATGCCAAGACTCAGCTTTTAAGTTCTTACCTTTTTGCATTGGTAATAGATGAGTTAACGGAACATTCAATATGACATCCCTTGGTGTATGCTTTTTGCAGATGATACAATGAAATATATGAACCGTATGAGGGAGTAAATGCAAAGTTTAACCTTCTGCAGGAAGTTTTGGAATCAAAAGATATTAACCTAAGTAGGTCAAGGACAGAGTAGATAAAGTGCAAGTTCAGTGGAAATGAGGGTTCAAATGAGACAAGGGGATCATGAAGTACCTAAGAATGAATGCTTTAGTTATCTTGGATCTTCTTGGAAAATCACAAAGAAATAGATGAAGATCTCTCATCCATAATACAAGCTAGATGGATAACTGGAAGAATGCATCAAGTATGTTGGGCAACCGTCTTATGCCTCTAAAACTCAAGATAAAATTTTATAGGGCATAGTAAGGCCAACAATGCTTTACAACACGAATGTTGGACAGCCAAACACCAATACGTGCAAAAAATGAATGCAGCAAAGATGATAATGTTTCGTTTGGATGTATGGGCACACGAGAAAAGAGATATGTTTTTATAAATAAATTATAAATTCATTATCGCATCAGAAGGGTGGGTGAGCATTTAAATGAGGCATGAATCTCTATTGGAGTTTGACTCGTTCGAGAGATTTTCTTCTTAAGATGTTTTGTTTTTCTTTCTTAAATGCGAGAAGGTAAAAATCAGAAACTTAAATTGTCTTGTTATATAAAGTATATCCGTATGTATGCCAGAAAAGAAAGATAAACAAAAATTTCTTAAAGAAGAATGAATTTTATCTTGTAAGTGATAATCACCAAATGTATTTATATGTAATAACTCTCTTTTAATGAATGAATGAACCATACCGAAAAATTTGCGTTATAATACATGCATCTATGTATGAAAATTTCAAGATAAATTTCCATATAAAACCAAATGGTGGATAATATCAACAAAAATCCAACAAGGTCATGTAAACAAAATATTATTATGGTAATGAATCTCCAGCCTAGATTTCATATTCTAAATTTGATTTTCAGCGCAAATATTAGTGGAGGTGATGTGTACACATTTCTTTTTTACTTTTCACCATTGGATTGAATAAATCAAATAAAAATAATGGACATGATTAAACAAAGTTGCGTGAGAGATTAAAAATGGTTCGTGTTATTATTTTAAAAATATTAAATTTCGATTGAGGACAAAATATTTCATAATTGATTAAAGTAGCCTCTTGTAAATACTATAAATAGCATAAGCTATCTAGGGTTAAAGCACACCGACTGAAAGTCTGAAACCTAAAGTTGCCTTCTTCCCTTCATTTCCCTAGTTTCCATTTCACTCTCTATTGAGAAATCATGACCAGAAAGAAAGTCAAACTAGCCTTCATGATGAACAACTCGTCGCAAAAAGCGACGTTCAGGAAAAAGAGGAAGGGATTCATGAAGAAGTATGAAATCAATAAACTTTGTGATGTTCTAACATGCGCTATCATGTACAGTCCAAATAAGTCTCAACCTGATGCCTGGCCTGATCATTCAGAAGTGCGACGCCTCATCGAGCAGTTCAAAAACATGCCCGAGGAGGAGCGGAACAAAGTGATGGTGAACCTAAGATGTTTCTGAAGCAGATGGTCGAAATGGAGCTGGAGAAGGTAAACAAGCTGGAGAAAGGGAACCGAGAATTGGAAATTTGGATGGCAATGAACCACTTCATTGCTGGGAAGCCCCTGAACGACTTGCAGTTCACTGATTTAAAGGAAATGAGGAGGATGATCGAAGAAAAATTGAAGGAATTTGAAGCGAATATCAAGAGCTGGAAGGAGGAGCTGGCGAAGATGAATCAACTCTTAGGTGCACAACCTACAGTAGCTGGTGAGAAAATTCAGAACGTCATGCAGATGGTTCCATGGTCCATGTGGGACGTGCCGACCAAAAGTTCTTGATGTGGATGATAATGTGTCGACTTTTGGGCATTAGGACCACAATGTTCGGTGGTGCTGGATGATCTAAGAACCCCCTTAATTTCCCTTGAGCTATTTAAGTAGTTTTTGTATTTTATTTTTATGTTATTTTTCTTCATCGTTGTTTTAAGTTATTTCTAATTTTATGCTTGCTTATCTTGACCTCAAAACCACATGGTTCCTATGCCTCTTAATTTCTTGCATTTAATCTAGAAAAAATTAATTATATAAGGTTGTTTGGTAACTTTGGTTTGTATTCAACATTCTTAGACTACTTATTGGTATTAAGATCTAGTGGTGTTTCTCGTTATTTGTAAGTGAGAGGTCATAGGTCTGTAATTCATGGATGGTGGAGTCAATTTATCTTTCTTTCCTTAATATATAAATCAAACTCACATTATTATGACAATAATGTAACACAAATCAAAGTTAGGTTGCATGATTCTTACATATAGACATTACACTCATTTAAACTATTGTGCAATGCCCAACGGTTTAATCAAAGCCTATATATGTGTGTGTGTATATATATATATGTGTGTGTGTGTGTGTGTGTGTTATAGTTTTGCTATATATATATATATATATATCTGTGTGTGTGTGCGCGCGCGTATGTTTTTAAAAGTTCAAAAAGATGCTAAGTTCTAGCCGGACATCAATATGGGGCCTCATGCCTGGATGGCTAGGTTGGACCTAGGAGGATTTAATGAAATTTACTATATAACATATAAATAGGTGCCTACTTGCACTCTACAAAAAAATACTTGCATTAAGAATTTAGGAAAGTTAAAATTTATGTAATCATGGCATTGACATCGTCACAGACCAATGTATCAAAAATAAGAAAACCCGGAACCAAATTCGACAACTCAATAATTCCATAATCTAAAATTGAGGTCATCTTTCATCTTAATCAATATTCAATGAATCAATATATGTAAATGGCACGAGAGAGTCTAGGTGAATGGCAGCTACAACACCTGACGCATGTAAAGTCAGAGTTGGCGCAAACGGAGGTGAGAGAGAGGAAGAGAGAGAACGTGACTGTGCGAAGAGGCACGGAAAAGAGAAACAAGAAATGTGCGAGAGACATAATATGAAAATTATTATTTGAACTATATAACATCTTTCTACACCCAATGTTTTAAAAAACTAGCCTCGGGGAGCGCCTAGGGCATCTTTGAGACCGGGCAATGAGGCTAACGCCTCTGTTTTGTTGAAGTGGGCAAAACGCTTTGCCGGAGACGCCTAGGCGGTGGAGGCGCGCCTCAAGGCGTCTCAGGCACCTTGTCTGGCCTTTTTTTTAAAAAAAAAAAAATACCACCCAAACCAAAACGACACTATTTGGGTAAGGGTTTTCAGTTTCAAAATACAGATTCGACCACTTCCTTCTTCACCCTCTTTTCCCGTGCCAGAAACACACAGCCGCATCACCCCAGTCGATCGTCCTCTCCCAGTCGCCACACTGTCATCACCCTGCCGTCATCACCCCAGCGCTGTTAGCAAACCCACAATCAAATCCCCTATTTTAAAGGTTAAGGTTTCTGAAATTCTGCAAAAGTTAGGGATTTGATTTTTTTGAATTTTTTTTTTTTTTTAACTGGTGTGAAGCCTTGGAGTTGGAAAGCAGAAAAATAGAGAGGAGTGGAGGTATAAGGGGAGGAGGCTAAAGGCTTAAGGGGATGGGAGAAGGATTCGGGATTATGGCTAAAGGCTTAAGGGGATTGGACTGTAGGTGTTTCATAAAAATAATTGAAAAATTAGTCCCATGTTAGTATTGTACTATTGTTGGAAAACTTCAACTGTATGTGATACCATTTTTTTTTTTTTTTTTTTTTACTAATGAGGTTGTTTCTTCATGATTATGTGGTGCATCTCTAATATGCCTCATGTGAATTTTTAATGATAATCTAAGCTGGTAATGAGTAGAAGTTTTTTACCAGCCTAATGTACAAATAAGTCCAAGTAATTAAATCAGGAGGTAAATAATAGCCACATGCTATGGAAAGATGAGATGCTATAAGACATTACCTCTTTTTGATCCAAAAGAGCTAGTGGCAATTTTTGCTTAGGCGTCATAAACAGTTCAGTCTTAGACATTTTTGCTCTGCATATATGCCAAAATCAGTACGTGTTCATGAACATTATTTGATTCTTATTCAATAGTCATTTTCCAAACAATTTTTGTTGGATGTCCACTTCTCAAAGTGTTCTATTAAGCTTTTTATTGGATTGCTTTATCTCATTCAAAAAAGTAATTGAGTATGGTCATTGGTCATCACTGTAATTGTTGCATAAATTAATAGATTGTTGGTTCCTTAACTGTATGCATCGAATGTTTATTGTTTAGGCATTGAAGAATATGGCTTCTTCTTCTACGAAAGATTTTGCTTGGCAATGGACAAAAAGATTTGGATCCTGTCACCAAGCACTTCTATTGTGTTTTTTTTTAACCACAAATGATGGGTTCAATTTCTAGATTTAAACATCACTTGGGTGGTGTAAGTTCGGGAGAATGATAAGTTGTAATACCTACACCTACGAATGAAATTTCAAAATAAACTTCCATATAAAACCAGATGGTGGATAATATCAAACAAAAATCCAACACAAGCTCATGAAAATAAATTTCTATTATGCTAATAAATCTCCAGCCTAGATTTCATATTATAAATTTGTTAGTCGCATAAATATTTGTGAGATAATTTTGACACTTTCATTTTATTTTTTATCATCGGATTTAATAAATCAAATAGAAATAACGGACATGATTAAACAAAAATGCTGAGAAACTAAAATTGTGCTTGTTTATCACCTCAAAAGTATTAAATTTCTATTGATGACAAAATATGTCATAATTAATTAAAGTAGCCCCTTGCAAAATACTATAAAGGAAAATACTTGGCTACTGAATGTTTCAGGAGGAACTCCTGCTTACACCCAATCTCAGGTGAACATGTGTCCAAGTTCAGGATTGGAGGTAAGCAGGAGCTCCTGCTGAAACTTCAGCAGTTAAGCAGCGTTCTACTATAAATAGGATTAGCTATTTAGGGTTCAACCACACCGTCTAAGAGTATGAAACCCTAAAGCCGCCTTCTTCCCTTCCTTTCCCTAGTTTTCATTTCTCTCTTCTTTGAGAAATTATGACTAGAAGGAAAGTGAATTTAGCCTTCATCATGAACGACTCGTCGCGAAAAGTGACATTCAGGAAAAAGAAGAGGGGATTCATGAAGAAGATGTTTGAAATCAATAAACTTTGTGATTTTCTAACATGTGCTGTCATATACAGTCCAGAAGAGCCTCAACCTGATGTCTGGCCTAATCCTTCAGAAGCGCGACGCCTCATTGAGCAGTTCGAGAACATGCCCGAGGAGGAGCGAAATAAAAAGATGGTGACCCATGAGATGTTTCTGAAGCAGATGGTTGAAAAGGAGCAAGAGAAGGTGAACAAGCAAAAAAAAGAGAACCGAGAGGTGGAAATTTGGCTGGCCATGAACTGTAAGAAGAATAAAAGTGATCCATGTGAGGAAGTTATCCATGGTCAAGACAAAGCCACTTGTCACAAGATTAAATAGGTGGTTATACATATAGTTGGTTAGTTAGAATATTGCTAGAGTGAGTTAGTTGGTATAAGGAGGTAGTTAAAGAAGAGTACTTGGGCTGCAAGTTTGTAAACTTCTATATAAGTGAACTATGTAAATCATATGTTCTCCAATGAAGAAAAACGTTCTCTCAATCAATACAATTCTATCTCATCTCTTCTATCTCTTCTATCTCTTTTCTTAAAACCAGATTTCAGCTATCTTTACATGGTATCATCGCCGGCCGATCCGGTGCTTCCGCTCAACATCTAAAGGATTTCTTTCTCTCCTCTACCCTCTAGTTTGCATATATCTGTGATAATTTTTGGCGACGATAAACATACAAATCGCTCCGAAAGTTGGTTTCTTTCCGTCTGCCCACCAACTGTTTGATTAAAAGTCTCAGAGAACGATTGTTCACGAAATTTGCAACATGGTCACTGCAGCTTAGTTACAGATTGTTCAGTCACCGATTACAAGTCTTCTCTCCATTGTCTCCACTTCTGTTACAGTAAAGCTTGATGATTCCAATTATCTCACTTGGAGCTTTCAGGTCCGATTGCTTCTGGAAAGCCATGGTATTATGGGATTTCTTGATCATTCAAGAAAGTGCCCTCCACGATTCAATGACAATTCTGATGTTGAAGGGGTTGAAAATGATGACTACCTGGTTTGGAAAATGCACGATCGTGCACTAATGCAGTTGCTCATTGCAACCTTATCCACCACTGCCATTTCCTGTGTCATTGGATGCAACAGTTCTGCCGAGATGTGGTTGAATCTCACTGAGCGATTCTCTGCTGTGACAAAAGCAACGATCTTTCAAATGAAGACCGAACTTCAGAATATCAAGAAAGGGTCAGAATCGGTGTCTGTGTATCTCCAAAAGATTAAGGATGCCAGAGATCATCTTGCTGCAGCTGGGGTAATTTTTGATGATGACGACATTATCATTCTTGCCTTAAAAGGTCTACCTGCAGAATTTAACACATTTCGATGTGTGATCAGAGGCAAGGAGAATGGGATATCTCTTAAAGACTTCAGGTCTCAGCTTCTGGCTGAAGAAGCCATCATTGATCAGTCTTGTGATCATTCTTCTGGGTTGGTTTTTGGTAGTGCTATGGTTACTGGAATCCACTCTGACAAAGGGAAAGCACTGGTTCTTGATCAAGATCAACCTCGACCTTCTTCTGATTCATCCTTTAGGCACAATGGAGGTTCCAGTCTTCCTAATTCCAATCAGACTCCTGGCTCATATCACACTGGCAGTTCTCACAACTTTGGTCACTTTAGGAGTAACAATTTCAGGGGCAAAGGGAGAGGCAGATTTCAGTATAATTCAGGTCCTCGATTTTCCAATGGTAATCCAGGCATTCTTGGTACTCCAAAGCCGTATCAATC